AAGGAAGGAAGGAAGGAAGGAAGGAAGGAAGGAAGGAAGGAAGGAAGGAAGGAAGGAAGGAAGGAAATTGGGTGCCTAGATTTGTGAGGTTCACAGCTGACCTGGTTAAATCACATTGTGTGAACGCAGCCTTGACTTCCCCAGAGAGACAGAGTTGGAGAGAAAAAACTGTTTTACTTACTTTATTTATTTCCTCTAGCCTCCCTTCTTGCTCAGCTTTCAGTAAACGGAAGGCTTTTCCTCCTGCAGAAAAGACCAGAAATGATGGCACAGGAGGAGAGGGAAAAGAAAAGGGGGGGGGGAGTTGAAACTGTGCCCCAGGGATCAGCCTCCCCCCCGAAATGGGTCCCCCCTCCCTTCCCCACAAGCAAATTCGGGGGCCAGAGCCCTTCCCCGAAGGCCACGGGGCCCCTCTCAAGTCCCCCGACCCTCGCGCAGGGACCCCACCCCGCACCGCACGTACCTTGGTGGGCATTGCTGAGCATCACGGACATCGTGGGTGCTGCTGGTGGGGGCTGGGGGGGCTGGAGGCTCTCCCCTGGCCCGTGCTGGTTTCCTCCCGTCACCGCCGAGCCCAGCGGGAGCAGACTTTTGTGCACCTAACCCAGCCCAGTCCTCCTCCTCAATGAAGCCATTCACGAGCCGGGATTCAGACTCAGTCCCTCTGCTGGGGAGGGTTGGGGGAGGAATGCATTGCAAGTGCTCAGCGCCCCACGCTGGGGCCTCTGCCGGCTGCAGAGCTAGCTGGCAAATTAACCCCTTTCTTTTTATGCCCCGAGCGCGCTCCTCCGGGCCTCGACGGCGCTGCTTCAAGCGGGGCAGCCGGCGGGAACTTTCCTTCGCGCCTCCTGGGTTCACCCAGCGCCCTCGGGCTGGAGCCTGGGTCCCCAGAGCCCAAGTCCTGGGTTCCCCCGTCGGGCCCAAGAGAAGCTCCCCTGCCCTGGGCTGCCCGGCGTCGTGGCTCTGACGGCTGACTTGCCTGAGACGGACCGAGACTTGCTTTTTGAGGTTCTACCGTACGCCGGCTGGGTTTGTCCAGTTTATTGGCGGTGTGGTCGCAAAATGGGCTGAAGCTAAACCTAGAGGGTTGAGGAAGGACAGCTGCTTTCACACAGGGTGCGGGGACAACCCCCCTCCCCTTTTTTTTCTGGTCTGGTGTGATCACACAACTTCTGAAGTCAGTAGCTGGGGTCCCCCAACATCCTCAGTCAGACACTGTCCTGCTGTATTTATCAGGTATAGATCGAGGTCAGGAAGGGAGGGAGGGAGGAAGGAAGGGAGGAAGGAAGGAAGGAAAAATGATGAGAAAAAGAGATGGAAGAAGGAAAAAGATAAGAAAGAGAGCTGGAAGAAAAGAAGGAAAAAAGATGAGAAGGAGAGATGGAAGAAAGGAAAATAAGAAAAATGAGAAAAGAAAGGAGAGAGAGGTGAAGGAAGAAAGAAAAGAGAGAGAGAGAGAGAAAGAAAGAGAAAAATGAAAAATGAAAAAGAAAAAGAAAAAGAAGAAAAAGAAAAAGAAGAAAGAAAGAAAGAAAGAAAGAAAGAAAGAAAGAAAGAAAGAA